TTGTAGCAATCACTGAAGAAAAGTCCCTGAAATTAAGGAACTGCCATCCTAGTTGGGAAAGGGGTAATAAACAAGTCATCATGTTTCCAAATCTCATGGGAAGTTTTCAGCCCATATTTTATTAGAACTTTTAGTCTCTTCCTTCTAGAAATACTTTCCTCATTTGGTTTCTGGGACAACACATTCCCTTCCCTTACTGTCTATTTTAGCATTCTTTGTTGACTCCTCCTCATCTTCCTGATTGTAAACTGGTGGACCCAGAGCTGTCTTCAAATATTTCTTCCCTCCCGGGGCGCCTGGGTGGCTTAGTCGGTTAAGCGTCCGGCTTTCGCTTAGGTCATAATCTCGCGATTTGTGGGTTTGAGCCCCGCGTCGGGCTCTGTGCTGACTGCCAGCTCAGAGCCTGGAGCCTGTTTCAGAGTCTGTGTCTCCCTCTCTCTCTGACCCTCCCCTGCTCACGCTCTCTCTCTCTCTCTCTCTCCTAGAAATAAATAAAAATATTTAAAAAAAAATATTTCTTCCCTCCCTTATTTGACATCACTATGCCCGTGATCTAAAATTTCTATTTCTAGCCCTCACTGCTCCCCTGAATTCTAGTCTTTTAAATGCAACTGCCTACTTGACACCTCCACTTATGTATCTAATGGGCTTCCAAAATTTAACATGACCACCCAAATCACACTCTTGATTTTCCACCCCAAACTACTCTTACTTTTAAGTCTTTTCTTTCTCAGTTAAAAGCAACTTCATTCTTCCAATTACTCAGGAAAATCCTTGGAATCATCCTTGACCTCTTTCTTTCTCTCTTAGTCTTCCTCTGACCCATCATGGTTAGCTATAAAGATGTCCATCACAGCACTGTTTAGAATATTAAAGCTTGGAAATGATCCAATTGTTCAACAGTGGAAGACTGGTTATGTTACAGCACACATGGCCATTAAAAATGATGTTATAGGCTAATAGTTTACCGTTTAATGACATTTTTATTATGGAAAGTTTCAAACACGCTCAATAATAGAGATCTGTGAACCCCATCATCCAGCTACAACAATTTTAGACTCAAAGGTATTCTTGCTTCATTTATACCCTCCTCCCCCTGTTATCTCCCACCTCTTCTATTGGATTGTTTCTAACCGAATCCCAGACATCACATTGTTTAATATGTAAGTATTTGTATTGCATACAAAAGCAGATTATAAAGAAATGTGTATAATATGATTACTTTTTGTAAACTATGTACATATATGCATAGGAAAAAGTCTGACAGGCTAGCTAGCTCTGAATTGTGGAACGTGAATGATTGTTGACATCTTTTCCTCAATGAACATGTATTACGTGGAGAAATGATGGTGGGGACAGGGTTGCGGGGGGAGGGGGAGATGTTGATGCCAGACATTCTAGTTCTCTTCCTTTTTTTCATTAAAAAGATTTTTCTTTAAATGTTTTTCATTTTTGAGAGACAGAGACAGATTAGCAGGGGAGGGACAGAGAGAAAGGGAGACACAGAATCTGAAGCAGGCTCCAGGCTCTGCGCTGTCAGCATAGGGGCTCGAACTCATGAACGATGAGATCATGACCTGAACTGAAGTTGGACACCCAACAACTGAGCCACCTAGGTACCCCAGCTCTATCTGTTCCTTTCTAAATTGGATTACTTTAATTCAGGCAGGGCATTTCATGTAGTGAAAGGGAAATCGCTGCTTTGTAGAGGTGTGGATCCCTGTCTTTCAGCTTCCATTTTCTCTCTGGACAGTCTGTAACTAAAGGTTGCCATATGAACATCTATTGTTATGGCAGGGTTTCTCAACCTCAGCTCTATTGACCTTTGAGGCTGGATAATTCTTTGCTGTGGAAGGCTATTCTCAGCATCCGTGGAGCTCTTGCAGCATCCCTGGTCTCTATTCATTAGATCCCACCTGCATCTTCCCCTCAGATTCACCCATTGCAGCAACCAAAAATGTCTTCAGAAATCGCCACATGTCCTTGGGGAGGCAAAATTACTCCTGACTGAGAACTGCTACACTACAGCATGTGTGCTCATTTAAATGCATGGTGTCTGGGAGATTAGCATCAAAAATGTTCTGTTTTACTCATTTTGCTGGCTGAGACCTCAGGAAGGATATAATTTGTGATCTGATGAAAACCGCTTTCATGGTTTACTGGCCTGCACATTTCAGTACCCAACCTATGGCTCCGTAGTTAATGATAATCTGCATTTTCGAAACATATGCAGAAAGGAACATGACAAGTTCAACTCCATAAGAAAAGCAGATGTCGTGAATGAAAGAAAGCTTATTGGCTAAGACCGTGATCTGTTAGATTTTCCTCTCCAGCCTACCAACTAACCCATTTCACGATTCATTATCATCCACGACACAGGGAAATGTGCGTAAGTTAAAAATGGGAGAACTCTTCCTAGAGAACTAATGATGCTACATACATATAAACAGTTCCTTTTTATTAGTAATAAACACATAGAGACCATTGTAAAAGATGAGGGAGAAGGGCATTTCAACATAGCACTTTATTTGGATTTTTTCTCATAATGGAAACATTATTAGAGAATCATAGAAATGAGATAAGGGAAAATGTGAGGTCATCTTGCTCATTTTCTTCAAGAGCTACACTGTTTTGTGTGCCCCCTCCCAACTCCAGTCCAGAGTCTTATTAAATATCCCCATTTTCATAATATAGGATGCCCCTCATGTTTCCCCCCTGGAGAGTAACTCAACAGATGAGCAGAGGGCATAACTTAGTGGTTTTATAATTTTCAAAAGATTACCTCTTTACTTAGCACTGTGTTGGTTGCATAGAAAATAAAACTTCCAGCAAAGTCTACATCAGACTTTGGCAATCCAGATTTATTAAGCACAACGTGCATCATGTCTTTAATAGCTTTACAGGAGCACCTGGGTGGCATAGTTGGTTAAGTGACTCTTGATTTTGGCTCAAGTCACCATCTCACAGTTGGTGAGTTTGAGCCATGTGTTGGGCTCTGTGCGTATAGCGTGGAGCCTGCTTGGGATTCTTTCTTTCCCTTTCTCTCTGCTCCTCCCTTGCTCCTGTGTGCACGTGCTCATGTGCTCTTTTTCTCTCAAAATAACAAATAAACATTAAAAAATAGCCCTACACAATCATTCAAGTTAATGGAGTATATTTGTGAGCCTTAATGGTTGTTTTTTGCAACTGCTGGATACTCCTGATTCCATACAATGTCCTTATACTTTCTTACATTTACCTACTTTGGAATCAGTGCTTAACTTCCATTTTTCAGGTAACATCCAGGATTTTCTTTAATGGTAAAAATAATAAAAATAATTACCATTAATTGAGTAACTTCTGTGAGCCAGGTATTATTTAAGTTACTGAACATTTAATATTTTATGCAATCTTTGTAATCCTACCAAATATATAGGTCTATTTACACATGAGAGAATGGATGCTGAGAGAGGTTAAGTACTTTGTCCAAAGTCTCACAGCCTCTGAAAGACAGGGTCCTGATCCAATGCACAGGCCAAGTCTGACTATTTAAATAGTCACAGAATGTGAAGTTTTCTCTAAAAATTTGTGTCAGGAAAATGTACTTGCTTGATTCTTTAAAAGAAAGCCCATCTGCAATAGCCCCAGGGCTGCATCTAAGAAAAAAACAAGAGTCAATCACAATGAAACACTCAGGAGCCTGAGGACTGGTGTGGCCCAGGGAACGGACTGGATTGCATTGTTAGATGTGGAGAAAAAGCCCAAGTGCTTTGTATAGTGGCAGAGAATAGACTGGGTCTTTCTTAAGTTACAGAGATTTTAGAGAGGAGGGCTCTTTGTGGAAAATTCCTGAGATAGGGGGAGTGGGGGAAGGGGACTCCATATTTGGTTTCTGTTGCCCTCGCTGTGCACAATTAGGGGAGAGGATAGGACAGCGAGTGGTAGTCTCATGCATAAGTATGGAAAATAGAAGTGTAGCCCATAAAAAGAAGTGGCCACAGCTAAATAAAACAAACCCAAATCCAAAACCTAAACCCCAAGTCCAAACCTCAAACAGGTTATGGGAAAGAATTCTAACCATTGAAAGTGAACAGTCGACACCGGACTTCAGGCTGTGAGCGTTCAGCCTGATTAATTAAGGTCAAGGTGGTGATGGCAATACCAGCTGGGGAGCATTTTGCCGAAAGATAAATTTGTCCCTCTGTATCTCTGCAAGACAGCAGGGAGGTGTGTGTTTGGAGCTAAATTAATTTGATTTACATCATGCCATGGTAACTTCTGTTCTCTCTGCCTGCTGTCAGATGTCTTAGCTGGCTCTTTCCCTCTCCTTCACCCCCACACATTTCATAACACGGAGACAAAGCACGGATTGGCTTGAGGCAGAATTTAGCAATGGAATAACTCTAATTTGATTATTCTGTATCGAGTGCTATTCTCTCCTCTCCCCCCCCCACCCCCCTTTCTTTCTTGAGGGAGAGAAGTTGTAAACTCGAGCCTAAGTGCGATGTATTTTTATGCTGTGCTTAATGGCACAAACCGCTTGACAATCAGAACTTGTTCCTTGTGCAAAACCTGGCCGCTCACCTATCCTCCGTGTTTCTTCAACAATACTAATGCTACAAAATGAAGTTACCACTCAGGACCCCGTTAGCAACGCGCTTTTTCTGGCCGTGTAGCTTTTCCAGTCCGCCAGGCTCCGGAGGCTGGAGCGGAGGGCGCCCCCTCGGGGACCCCCAGAGCTCCGGTTCTGGCCCCGCCGGGCCTCCTGCACCCCTGCGACCCCGCTCGGCCCGCCGCTCCTCACCCCTTCCTGCGGCCGGGCGCGCTCGGCTGGGCAGGCAGGATAAGGTTACGCCGAGGCGTCCGTGGACGGCAGGGAGGGAGGCGGGTCCGAGCCCGCGCCCCGGCCCGCGGGGGAGCTCCCACCGTGGGCGGCTCGCGCCGGCCGGGCCACATCCTCGCTGCCGGCCGCGCGCGGCGCGCGGGCCGCCGAGCGCAGTCCCCGACCCGGCCCGCAGGCCATGGCGCGGGAGAGGCCGCCCGGGAGGGGCTGCGGGGTCCTGCGCCGGTTTGTGCTCGGCGCCGCGCTGCTGCTCGGCCTGCGCCTGTGCGCCGAGCTGCGCCGCGCCGGGCCCCGGGCCCCGGCCCGTAGCGTCCCGCCGGGCCCGGCTCCCGGGCCGCCCGGGCCGCACCTGCCGCCCGCGTCCGGGCCGCCCCGCGGCGCCAGCAGGAGGCAGGTGACCTACGTGCGCAGCGGGCGCCGAGCGCCTCCGGAGGGCGGCGGCAGCGGGACGCCGGAGCCGGGCTGCTGCGCCCAGCGCGGGCGTCCCCGCCGGAAGGTCAGTTGCAAACGGTGCAGTCTTGGGCCCTAGACCCGACTCCCGTCCCCGACCGCGCTCAGAGCCCTCCGCTCGGGCCCGCAGGCCGCCCCACTGGGACCTGCAGAGAAGTCTTCTGCTTCTGCCAGCTCAGCCCTCTCTGGCTGCAGTGGTGGTGTCCTTCAATTCACATGTACGAAGTGGGACTGAACCGGGTCCATTCAGTATTCCACCGAGCGTCCGCCGCGTGCCAGGCGCCCTGCTAGGCGCGCATCCAGCAGTGAGCGACCAAGTCCTGCTCCCAAGAAGCTTACATTCTAATGAGGAGAGGCCACGAGTGATGGGCAGGGAAAGGAAAAGAAAGGTGTTGGGGTTTTATTTATACTCTGTGCTTCCCTTGGTTTTCTCCTTGAGGCCCGGACAAAGCGGGGTGGGTATCTACCGTGAGTGGCTTTTCCACTCCACCTTCATCGCGGCGATGGAGATCCACTCTCCAGCCGAATTTCCCTTGGGTTCCGCCGCTGACGTTGGCAGGGTGGCTGGCACCGGGGGCGAGAAACCGGCCCGCCCGCGCCTCTTGATGGGAAATTAATTGGCACCTCGAGGACTCAGGTGATAACCTGGGTTTGTCTTCCAGCACTCGACAGCGTGGCTCTTCCTACCGCATTAACTTCCTGGCTCACACCTCAGTGAGTGGTTCAAGTTTAACCTCAGAGTGTTAAGCCTCTGGCCTTCTTCCCTCCTTTTGGAGCTCAGTAATTTACTAGGTACTTGAGGATGAAAAGATTAAGGACGGCAGGTACAAGCTTGCCTGGGCCTCCCACCCATCAAGCCGAACACAGCCTCTAGGGCAACTTCCATCTGTTGCCTGGCTCACCCTCTTTTCTTTGAAACATCCCCTGTCCCCCACTCCGTGCCTTTTGGGGAGGGGGGAAATTCTTCCTTTGAAATCTGCTGCTTTCTGTAGCTTCTTAGGCTAACCTACTTTTCAGGATCACGCCCTTGCCTTTCTTCCCCCCAAGCCTTGCCTCTGCTGGGCCGTACCCCTGATGAACGTGCCTGGCCGTCAGTGTTATCTTCCTGTATAAACTCGGATACTTTTTTCTATCCGAGTGAAACTTCACTTAGCAAGTCTTTTTTTTTTTTTTTTCCTTTTTTAAAGTTTATTTATTTGTTTTGAGAGAGGGAGGGGGGAGAGAGTGGGAGGGAGGGAATCCCAAGCAGGGATTTGCACTGTCAGTACAGAGCCTGACGTGGGGCTGGTCCCAGGAACGGTGAGATCACGACCTGAGCGGAAACCAAGAGTCAGATGCTCAACGCACCGAGCCACTCAGGTGCCCCCCAAGGGAAGTCTTAATTTGCTCTTCCGCTCCCTTCTTCATGCTCCTAATGCACTTTCCATGACACCATGTTATGTCTCCGGCACATGTCTGCCGAAGGCTTAACAGGTTCCAGATGCTGTATCAAAGTGAGTTCAAAGTCTAGTGAGGGAGGCATTCGGCTTGGGCCTCCAGTAATGTAACTAAAGCTGTGAATAAGGTCTTGAACTCGAGCTGAGGCGTCAAAAAAGGCTAACCACGAGGGGACATTTGACCTAAGACTTGATTTGTCTTAAAGGTTCAGGTTCTTTTGTTTCTCTCGATGTCCTCGGATGTCCCTTCATGCCGGCCCTGAAGTTTTCCTCTCACATCCGCCCTCAGCCTGTGTTGTTTCTGTTGTCACCTGTCCAAGAATCACTCTTAAATCTTGGTCTCCGCCTCAGACAACAGTATCTGTAGCTGGAGGCTGTCCTGCACATGGACAGGGTTGGAATGCACAGACTCTCAGGGTCGCCGGAGGTGAAGTTCACATCATCCCCTTCAGGAGTCTGCCGCAATGATGCAGGCTGAGGATGGTGGTGGCTTCTATAGGCTGGTGGAAGCTGAGGTGTGCCTCGTGGTCTGATCCTGCATGTGTTTTGAAGAAGAAGGAGGGAGGAGAAGTTTCTTTGTTCAGCTTTTGGCTTTGGGGGGAGTGGACAGAAATCAGGAGGTTGGATTTAAGCATGTTGAGTCTGAGATAACCTTTAGACATCCAGGAGGAAATGTCAAACAGGCAGTTGGACGTATTCGTCGAGAGTTGGAGGAAGTATCCAAGCTGAAGACAGAGATGGGAGTCATCAGTCTACCAGGGGGACTAAAGCCATGAGACTGTACCAGATCAACGAGGGAGTGGGGGTGCCTAGCAGAAATAAGCCATCTGGGTCTGAGCCCTGGCCCCCGGTTTTATTAAAATTAAGTTAATGAAAAAAAAAAAAAAACAGAAGGAAATGTGTGCATAGAGTCTGGTATTTATAAGCACTCCATAATGGTAGCTTTACTAGTCACGTATCTGTCCTGGGTCTTTAGCCTCAGCTATTCCCCAAGTGTAATGTGTTGTAACCTAGTTCCATTCCTTTGGCTAATGCAGATTCTCTTCCTGGCAAGGCTACTGTCGCCCCTTCCTATGATTCACACCCTTTCCATTCTTGAACGCTCAGGTCAAGTGTCATCACCTGGAAACCTTCCCATATCAATCCTGCTTCCATGCTGATCTGTCCCCCAGCTGGGGATGATGACAGAAATACATCCCGATTTGTCATTTGCATGGTAATCTGTTTCAGATTGACTGTTTTGTCCCACAGTTGTGCTTGATGGAAAGAATTGTATTTCCCCAAATGGCCCCTCTGTAGAGGTTCCTCCTGAGATACCGATATGTAAAAAATATGAGAATCTTACTATTTCAACCTGTAATGTGTAGCTCTAAATGACTTTGGTTAAAACTGTGTAAGAAAGGACTGAGCTTACTGCTCTGTTTAAAGTATTGTTGAATTTTTTAGCCTCCTAAGGAAGACTCTTCTCTGGATTTCCTTTTTCCCAGCTCTCTGTTTATTTATTCACTATCCTTCAAGATATACATTCTAACTTCCTCGCATTCCTAGCTAGTGGGAATCTTGAATGTGTTTCATTTTCCTTTTTTTTTTTTTTTCTTCCAAGGGAATTAAAATGTTCCTCAAAACTGGAAAGACCAGTTATCCAATCTGTTCGCCCACTTTTGGGAACAGAGTTTGCTCTCTCTTATCACTGGGGGAACAAATCTTACTCCTTTCTAGTCTCCTGTCCAGATGTGCGATATAGGCTGAATGCGCCGTTAAATATTAAATAATGGACATAGTTAAAGTTTGGAAGTTATGTGTTAAAAACCTTGGATCTCATTTAAATTTTATATGTTGAGAATAATGGTAAACAATGTTATTTAGGTTCTTGGTTACTTTGTGGAAGGCACCTGCCAGATTGGTGAAGGAGAAAAAGTTCCATTCTATTTTGAGGATAGCTTTTTGGGTGGATGAAACCTGCGTGGAATAATTGGGTTGCCGGCGGTTTCTTGTCAACATGTTTCCTCTGCAGGTGTTAGAGGCACAAAAATTTAGCAATTATATTGCCACTTTAATCATAGCTCATGCTTCTCTTAAAGAAAATAATCTGGGGGCGCCTGGGTGGCTTAGTCGATTAAGCATCCGACTTTCACTTATGTCATGATCTCGCTGTTCGTGGGTTCGGGCCCCGCGTCGGGCTCTGTGCTGACTGCCAGCTCAGAGCCTGGAGCCTGTTTCAGTCTGTGACTCCCTCTCTCTCTGACCCTCCCCTGCCTGTTTCAGTCTGTGACTCCCTCTCTCTCTGACCCTCCCCTGCTCACGCTGTCTCTCTCTCTCCTAGAAATAAATAAAACATTAAAAAAAAAGAAAATAATCTGTTATAAAAAAGAAAAGTGAAGTGCAATCCTCATATAATTCTTTGCTTCTTTCCTCCTCCCCTTCTTTCACCGAGTCTTAAAAGAAACTAGCCCTAAATATTACATCCTCTTTCACATCAGAGGTCGTAACCTTAGTGCACTGTGAAATGGGGGCAAATGATACATGATGGATAAATACTGCCTTTTTTGGATTAGGATGAGCCTAGAACTCATGCCTTTTGGTATATACAGAAGCTTTCCATCAGAGCTCTTAGGCTCTAGAATCTACATACTATATGTGCATAAAGATATCACTGTAATTCTTTTCCTTCCCCCCCACCTTGCTGTGTTTCTTTCTGGGTTTTCTGTCTTCGACATACACTGTGATAACATGGGTGAAGCTCTTTGTGGGGGCATTTGTTGAGGACTAAGATATGGCCTCCATGATTTATGCTGCTTTACCCAGTCTTGGGTAGATGTTTCTCTTACAGGTTAGCAATCCGCCTAAAAGGCAGCATCGCAGTGCGTGGCTCTTTTGCACAGGAGAAGCACTCACACAGGAGCCAAGCTTCCTGAAGAAATTTCTTCTCTCTTATCAGAGCTATTTTACTTGACATTTAATATGTTGGAGAGAAAAGTGGCTTCTGAGTCACAGAGGCAGGGAACCAGCAATGTGCTGGTTTGGTTTGTTAGTTACAAATCCTTTGGAACAATGTGTCAGAAGAGAAAAAAAAAGCTGTTTCCTTTTCTGAAAAACCATATGGAAAAATTTAGCCTTTCTTCCTCATGTCTCATCATCTTAGTTTTCTAATTCTGTGATTTTCATCAGGAAGGAAGAGGAAGATGCATAGTAGACTCCCTGATATACCCAACTGCCTTCAAAGTCCTTACTCTTTACAGTACACTTGAAGGTAGGTTTGAATGGCTCGTAAAATATGGCCCAGCAGTAGTTTCCAGCTGCTTAGATTTTTGCTGTGTACCTACACTCTCGTCCTTCAGGGAACACCATTAATCAGTCCTCTCACACTGTCCTCAGGAGGCAAAGCATTTTCATTTTAAACAAAGTCATTGAGGGTAATTGAATGAGCTCCAGCAATATGTGGGTGTGAAATAGCAGTTGCTTGGTTTCACAGAGAAAAGCAGGTTTTGATTAAAACTTGGATGTGCCTTAGATGGAGAATAGACCTCCGCACCACTTCTGAACCCCCGCAGTTCCTCAGAGAGCATTCTGCGGGCAAAGGAGCTGGGAATGGAGGCTCCACTGTTTGTCA